AGCAAAGTTCCTTTGTTAGATAAAGTTTATCCAGAAATTTCAAACACAAGAAATCCAAGACCAGATCAACCAGATAACCAGGGTGAAAGTTTAGGCTCTTTACAATCTGTATAAAATCCAAATCTAAGAAACCGGCCCTAGCAAGACCCCTTTTCTCTCAATCCACAGGCAATCCTAAAATTGCCAAGAAACACTTTACCACAGATTTTGTTTTCAATGAAAAAACTCTTAATTTCATAATTTTCATACCACTTTTTTTTATTTAAAATATTGTAACCAATTGACATACTAGATAACGTTGTTTACATTCCAGTGGTGCATGTTTAATGACTAGGGCATGAATGATGAAAAATCACAATAATGATCTCAGCATTCCCTAAAAAGTGCCCCATTTTGTTTTGTCTAGAGGAAAGGAGAGGGAACGGAACACAGGGAAGGAGAGGAATGGAGGAGGAATGACATCGCAGAGGAAGAAAAGCAAATGTCAGTTATCATACTCAGGTTTCCAGGTGTGACACCCTGCTGGCCAGGATAAACTGTAATGAGAAAGTAGATGTCACAGTCCAGGGAGACACGTAATTCAGTCTAACTTCATTATTCAGCTAAAAGATTAACAGTTTCTCAAAAATATACCAAATATTGGGCCTACAAAAGTAATTTATTTCTTCGTAAAATTTTACTAAGATTTACTCCTTTTGTAAAATGTAAAGAATGGACTGATATCACGAGCAGGTTCTACTTACAAAACAGTAATAATGTCAACGAGCACATCTAACACAATTTTCCAAGATATACAGTGAAAGATTTTACATGTGTCTCTTACTGATGTAAGGTATATACTTTACATACTTACTGGTATTGTTTCAACATTGGCTAAAAAGTATTTAACACACATTTATAATTCACTCAGTAAAGATCTAACAGGGCAACAGCTTACTTGGGAAAGCATAGAAAATTAGTGTGAGGTAGTTCAATAAAAGCCTAGTTTAATTTGTAAGTCATTATGAGAATAGAACATTGTGCAAAATTAATCCACAGGTAATATTTCTCAAAAGTTTCAGTAACAAAGAGAATCTAAACTAGAAATGGCCAGAAAGTGTTACTCTTACTAGACTCTCCTTAAGAGCACTTAACGAAGAGCAGTCAGTTTGAAATTAATTAGGATTTCTGTTTTCCTTATGAGTTTTCTAATTGTACCCCAAACTATACATTTCTGCTTCAATGCCCTTTACCTCTTCATCTTTCTTGCTATTAAGGAAAAATTAGTTTCCTTTGATTCTGGAAAAACCTAAGAGAGATCAGTAGAAACACAATGCACACAAAAAATGCAACAGGATATGGAGAGGCAACATTTAAGAGGGCTGCTAATGACAGAATGGTGGTGTTTGGTTTACCTACTGGTAAGAAGAGTTTACTGGTGTCATGGGGCTTCATGCATCCACTCTATAGCTAATGTGTAACTAATGAACAACACTCACAAACTACAATAATATTTTTGAAAATATACTATGTTTTAACCTCAAAATGTTGTGCAGGCTAGTGCCTAGGCAAACACTGAATAGTTAAGTCTTCATATGTGTAGCAGATACTGGCCAATAGTGTAAACCATCTTATCTGTAACCAAGGAAAGAGCTTCACTTTCCTGCTGCTGATTTCACTATCAGACACTGATGTCCTCTTCCCTCCATCTTTCAGACAGCACAGCAGGATTAGCATAGAACAGAACAATGACAAGGCTGGCAGAAAGAGTGCTTCTTTGCACACTGTCAAGCTTCTCTGGATTGTTAAGGGGGTTGTGTGTAGGCTTCTCATTTAACAGGCTGGTGTTTCTCTTAGGAACACCTGGTATGAACACACTGTGCCTTTACCAACTTGGAAGAGTGCACGTCAGGAACAACCAGCAGCCAAAGGTGCATGACACACTGAAAACTGTTCAGCAAGCAGTATGACAGAGCTGAGATGCTCTATTTGCGTATAGTATAACTAAGTGATCCCAATGATACAATGGTTTTACAAATGGCCAGTATATATTAGAGGGAAGAGAATAGTAACCAGGAAGACACAGGTAAAGAATTGGCATCTCTTTCTTAATCTGTGAAGATAATAAAAATCTTGGTCAAAATAACTTTCTCATAGTAAGACAGTGAGTATATTAAGTATATAAAATTGAAAAATCAAACTTATAGAACAAGAAAGGTGGTTTCACACAAGTATTACCTGACAGAAATGTTATTTGTAACTTCTCTTGGGAAAAAAAATGTTTAAGATGCTTAAAGGATTCCAAAATAAAAAGAACCAATACCTATTTAGCTTAACAAATTTAAGAGCAAAATTGTATTTAGATGTAGTAATTTAAAACCTAGGGCACAGAACATTTAACAAAGAGACCTTGTTTTTTTTTTTGTTTTTTTTTGTTTTTTTGAGACGGAGTCTCGCTCTGCCGCCCAGGCTGGAGTTCAGTGGCCGGATCTCAGCTCACTGCAAGCTCCGCCTCCCGGGTTCACGCCATTCTCCTGCCTCAGCCTCCTGAGTAGCTGGGACTACAGGCGCCCGCCACCGCGCCCGGCTAGTTTTTTGTATTTTTTAGTAGAGACGGGGTTTCACCGTGTTAGCCAGGATGGTCTCGATTTCCTGACCTCGTGATCCGCCCGTCTCGGCCTCCCAAAGTGCTGGGATTACAGGCTTGAGCCACCGCGCCCGGCCGAGACCTTGTTTTTAGGATATAATGTGTTAAATATTTTAGTTTACACTAAGTAATACGAGTTTGTTTTCTTTGAATTGAACTCAATGTGATGGTTGGCAAGTGGCAGCTGGCGTTTACAACAAATGATACAGTCAGACACCTGGTTTTCCTTACTTAACCAAAATCTGTATCAATAGAGATGGCTTATCAGCAATCAAGCATAAAATATGAGAACCTTCTGAAAGCATGTCTGCTGTGAAAGTGCAACAGTGACATAATCTACGTTACAGAAAATACAGCTAATTGTCAAATTAATATAAACACACTCATTCTCAAATTTCTGCTAAAATTGTGAATCCAGTATTTCCTGTCTACAATTCAAGAAGTGTTATAGTCTTAAAACTCTAATTTGTCTAATCAAATTAATGCACCTTGTTGTATTAGAAAAGGGACTGATAAAAAGGCTGGGAAGCTGGAAATCATGACTCTAAGCCATCAAAAACAAACCTGCTATTTCAAAGTATATAAAAAGGCTAATGTATTTTAATCTTAAATATTGCACATTAACAATGATGTAAAATATCTCATTCAAAATGAATTTTGCACTAAATATATGAATAAAATGCCAAGCAAATTTTCAGACACTGCATGTTAAGCCACACCTGTTCTTCCCATTGGTCACGAATTCCAAGGGGCTTTCTGCCTAGAACCTTGCTGCTTATGTGAGTATGCATTTCCTAGTTCATTAAATGAAATCCCTCTTGTTCCAGAGATCATTTAAAAGGTGCCTGGGTCTATTACAGACACCGTATTTCAGAAATAACGAGACTTCAAAGACATTTTACTTGGGAAAAGTTCAGTTATAGAGAAATAATTCTGCAGATAGAAAATGTAAACAGTTAACATACACTTGTCAGGAGCAGCACCATTCTTACACTACTCGACATCCACATTGCGTGTTATGTTGAAAATCAGGTATAAAAAAATAAAAGACTCAGACTAAATAACCACCATTTATGCCTGCTCTGCTCAATGTGAAGAAACAGTCCTTAGAAAATGACATCCTATATATGGCTGTGTGCTACTATTTTCAGATGAACGGTATATTGCTCATTTGATACATCACCTACACAAATCTAGGTAGGCTTTGGAACCTCCCAATAGCTAGTATAAATATGATTATGCTACAAGTAGAATCAAATGGCCAGAAACACCAGAACAACTGGTGTTCAACTGACAGACACTCCAAGTAATAGGAAACCGGAAAGGTCCAAGGGCCCGAAGCTGCAGGAAAGGGAAAGACTAGACTCTAGAACATTGCTGGGACCTACAGCCTGAGTAGATTAACTCAGTGTATACAAAAACAGGCTCATAGCTAGTAGAAGTGAACCATCTGTTTATTTGCATTGAAATGTATTATTCATGAAGTATCCTCTTGACTTTATGTGATCATAAACTTTGAGCATGCCACAAATTTCCAGAATACACCATGTTCTTTTTACTTATTTCTGTTGGGTAGGGTGGGGACATAAGGTGGTGGTAGATGCCCAGCATCTTCAAAGACATGCTCTGAGTTATTCTGCCACTTAGATGATGGGGCTTTTGCCAAAATTAAGTAGGATTGCCTACCAATTCTTGTAACTAAATTAGGATTGGCAAGTAGCAAATATTGGAGGTCTCCTAACACGTTCATCATTTACAGTAGTTATTCCTGAATATAACTGGCTACAAGTTATTTTCCCTCACTCCTCTGGGGTTATTTCATTGATAAGCACATAACCCTGAAGGATAGTATCATGAACAAAACATCTGAAATAAATTCTAATAAAAAAAACTATAAAAATCTTAAATAATTCATGATATAGGCAAGTCACCACATAATAGTTGCTTTGATAAACAAAATCTTACAAATTCAGTTAAAAAAATCAGCAGCATAAGATAAAGCAAATATGCAAAAAATTTAAAACATGATAAAATAATTAGGTTTACATTATACAGTTAATTACAGCAAAAAATACAATACAGTTTTGTTGCTGTTTTGAAACACAACTTAGGTTTTAAATTACATCACTTGAAATTAAAAAAAATAAACTACTTTACTACAAAATGAATTCTACATTTTTTGAAAAATCACTCAAAAATAAGACCACTGAATTGTTTTCAAAGTAGTTCTATCAATGACTAACCGACTCCCCGTCCCTCCCACCCCCCCACGGCCCAAGTAGTCATCTACAGCAGCCCAGAGGCCCAGCTGATGCTTCTAGACTGCTGTCTGTATCCGAGGCCAAAGTCGGATCTGTTGACATTGAAGACACATCATTGACAGACGACGATGACGATGGATGCTGAGAGCCATTGATCACTGCTGCACCTGTGCTATGAGAAACAAAACAGCAAATCAGTTGCAGACAGCTGCAGATCGAGCTACTTGCACTGCACTGCCTGCCTCTAGTGGTAATTTTTTCTCTTGGGTTTAGAAGGCTCACTAAAAATAATCGCAAATGACATCCAATACACTAAAAAACACTCTTCATTGACAGCTATGAGGTGAGAATTCTGAAAATGTCTAGAATCGTGGAGTCCTATCCTTTCAATGAATGTGTTTTTCAGTTTAAGACAAGAATTTACATCTAAGCCACATTTAGAAATGGTCCTGCAGCAAGATCCACAAATGGGCTTCAGGGTACGTGTGAATACTGCTGATAATACATGCAAAACTGTCTGTAATGCCTTTTTTTGGACAGAAGATCTTAAAGGACTGTATAACTACAAAAGTTAAAAGCTACTTCCCTACAAAAAAGTCTTTATAGTTCTGCACTAAAAAGGAAAAATTCAAATGATTCAAATTTGAAACAAGATGTACTTCTGGCACATCTTGTTTTAAAGCAAGCGCCAAGGAATAAAATAATTTTAACAGGAAGAAACCTTAATTCAACTGCCCCAGTTTATACAACGTTATGGGACATGCCAGTGTCACTCAAATGGCCTAGTTAAGTAAACTTGGGTCTTCTTATTTCTACGCTAATACTTGATAAGTAGAAATATGGATTTATTAAATAGATAAAGTAGGAGCAAACAGTTTCTTTTGCCGAAAGTATTACCTAATAAGGACTTCCTGAATTTTAAAAAGTAACACGAATACCTGAGCTCGAGACAGAAATCCTCTCAAGGGGATTGGTTTAGGAAGGGGACAGGAATGACTTACACTGGGGTATAGAGAAAAAAGGTAACTCATGCACTAGGCTAAGTACTTTTAAACCACATGAACACTAAATAAGGGTCATTCCAAATTTGAATAACGCAAGTTACTTAAAAGTTCTCAAGAATACATTTATGAAATAAAATCAATGGTCTTCAAATGGAACACTGAGCAGAATTTCTGAGGGTGAGGTTCAGGCACCCAACGATGCTGAAACCAAATGGGCTGAAAACCACTGCTCCTGAACCCAGCATCTGTATTTGAGATCATCCCTCCATTCTGTCCAGATAAGCAATAAAACACTTCAATATGAAAGGTCCTCTGCGAGCTTTTCTTCAAATGCAAAAAGAAAACAGGCAGTGTAGTGGGAATAGGAAAATCTTTAGGGAGGGGACTGGGAGACAGAAAGGAATGGAACCACAACAGACAAAGCAAGTGATGGGAGTTGAAACAGAAGAGAAAAGCAGGATGAGTATTTCAGGCCTGAGAGATGAGAGGTAAAATAGGTGATAATCTCCTAGACCCAAGAAAGGTCCATTAGCTTCCCAGTCAGAGTGAAACTGAGATAGTATATTCTTTTTAGTTCAGTCAATACTTGGAATGAGCCTTTTCTGACTGAACAGTATGATACATCTGTGTAACATACATAGTACACAATGGCTAGTTTCTAAGACTTGTACTGAAACATTCAAACCATAAAAGGGATCCAACATACATAATTTTTATATATGCCTCTAGTTCAGGGTCTATTATTTTATCCAAATGTTTTAATCTGATAAAAATTAACTCTTAAATGCATTAACTTTTTAATCTAAAAATCAAGTACCTAAGGAAAAAAAAACACACACTTGTTTTTTCTTTAAAGCAATACAGTAAATTCTCAAATATCTGAATGGTAATAATATAGAAAATCATTAGTCTCAGGTGGGTCATTCCTCTCTCAAGTGAGTCTCTACACACTCAAGGCAGGCAAACTTACTTTACTATTAGCCAAACCAAAATAAATATAAGAAGGCACTCAAAGGGGAAAAAGAATAAAATTCATTTTAAAAATCAAGTGGAAATGGTACTATGGTTATCTGATATTTTGATTTACCAAGCACTACTCCTTTTGTTATAGTACATAATCAAGAGTGGAATATTTTCATAACAGCTTAATTTGCTAATACTCATCTTTGCAAACTATAACTGAGGATCCAGAAGATGTCTAGAAACCTCAATTTCTATCTTTTCCACTGACTTATTTTGTGATCATAAGCAAGTGGTGGACTAAGATTCAAATTATTCACTTACAAATTAAGAACAAATACAACTGCTCTAACTCATGAGATTATTACATTTACTCAAATATCTGGCACTCCAGCTGTGCCACTCAATTGGATAGTATGCTAAAGTATAAAACTGTCCCACATAATGAACTTTCCAAATCCCACCTGAGCCTCTATCATGAACAATTCAGTTATACTACTACTATGTAGCAATACAAAGCTAATTAATTACATGAAGCATTTATAACAGAGCTTTAAATTTGTTAGAAGTAAATTGTAGAGAAAAGTCCATTTCCAAAATAGGTAAAAGCTGTCAAAACCCATTCATATTTTCAACAGGATCTACACTATAATCTGGAAGACTGCATTCTTGATCAAAGATTTAAAATATACAACTCTAAAATATATAACCAAAAATGTCAAAGCAATCCACAAAAAATGGCTTAAACAATTATGTTTATAGTAGACAATGTCACTATAGTTTTAAAAAACCTTACCCATATACAACATGCTAGATACATCTATTTTTTTCCTCAAAAGTAGAAGTTTCTGAGGAATTAAAATGGCATAGTTTTACTTCAAAATCAAGACCTATCTTTTGAAATACTCCTCACTCTTCAAGGCTCAGCTCAAATTTCACCTCCTTCATACAACTGTCCTAACCTCTGTAGCCAGAGAAGTCTCTGTTGCCCGCCAGAAACAAAATGGGAGGCTGAAAAAAATCACACACTCTGAAGTTATTGTACTAGTTCATCTACATAACAGATTTGGAATCTTACGTTATTTCAAATTTCTGAACTTCAGTTTCCTCATCCATAACGTGTGCAATAATCCTATACCTTAGGGTCTTAGGGGCTGAATAAAATAAAGTATATAAACCACTAGTGTCTGTCACGTGGTATGTACTTAATGTACATGTTACCTGCCATTTAACTTTTCCCCTCTATTCTTTATACTTTTACTTGTACTAACATTAAATATAAGATCAGCTTATGATAAAAAAAAAAGTTTTAACTCCTACAAAGCCAGTTCACTTCTTAGAGAAAGAATACCTTCTAGTGATGGTTTTAATGTTATTGCCTTTGTTCAACAAATCAGTCATATCATTTTGAAGGACAGCAACTTGGTACTACATGTACTAAATTTTGCAGTGAAGCTTTTATTTATCCAAAGTAAAGACTGTCAAGATCACAGAAAGGTATGTATATTGAATTTTGAGAAGTTTCTTCTTTAAAGACCCAACAACAATGCCAACAAAGTTTTTTAATTTCTGTTCTTCAACAGAATGTCAATATCATAGAAAAAGATGTGCATCTTATAAACAGTTACTGATATATTAGTATAATGTATTAATAGAAAAGTGTGTCAGTGCTTTCAAATTTCACCAAACAAACTGTATTTCCTTATATTTATTAAGCCTGGAATAATGTTGATTTTGTAAGTATGGGAAGAACTGCAGGTTTCAGGCCACTGAAGATTACAACACAAGAAGTAAACTGTAATCTTAACCAAGCTTATATTGTAACCAACCTAAAGGAGAGGGCTGCCCCCGTATAACTCCATTCTTGGTTCTCTCCTCCAAGTCCATAACTTCCTTATATATCAATTCTGTAAAAGAAGTAAACAAAAATGAACTTTTCAAAGTCTAAGAGCCAATCTCACAACGCATGTATGGTTTAAGTGGAAATTTTTATACATGTGAAGTACTTCAAACAGTGTCCTTACAATGACAGTCAGTTAAGTGTCAGCCTAAGATTCAAGGATGTTAATTAATAACAATTCCTTGACACTCAACAATGGATCATATTGAAAGGAAGTACTAATCTTTCCTGTAACCACTGTTTCTCAAGTTGGTTTGATGGTGCTGGGGTAGAAGCTTTCTTTTTCACTCTACCAGCAACTTGTACTACAGCATATCATACCACATACCATTCTGTACTACCATCTGTCTCAGGGAGGGCTTGAACCATGTGTCTTACTGACTTCCATTTCCTGAGCCCTGGAATAGAGCCTGGTGCACTGTGGGTACTCAACTAGATATATGTTACCAAGATTTAAATCAGAGTATGCAAAAGCTTCATTAATCAGAATGAAAGATAAACACATTTTTATTGGAGGAAAAGAAGCAGGTAAGCTACATTTCAACTCCTTATGAGTAAGCATGGTTATCACTTCCAATAACATTTCTCCATGGGAATCTATCTTTTTCTCTTATCAGGCTTCTGGACAGCAAGCAGACCACTGCGACAACTGTTGCAACTGAAGAGAGACACTGGGAGCTGCTCTGCTGGTATCAATATATGCGCCTCCTGTCTTACATTCTTCACTTATATTATCATCAGAAGTGATTCTGATGTTAACTGTGATGTGCCTTGTGAGTCTGAATGTCTACTTAAGAACCTTCGGCCAGGAGTGGTGGTTCATGCCTGTAATCCCAGTACTTTGGGAGGCCGAGGCGGGTGGATCACCTGAAGTCAGGAGTTTGAGACAAGCCTGACCAACAAGGTGGAACCCCATCTCTACTAAAAATACAAAAATTAGCCAGGCATGGGGGCAGACGCCTGTAGTCCCAGCTACTCGGGAGGCTGAGACAGGAGAATTGCTTGAACCTGGGAGGCAGAGGCTACAATGAGCTGAGATTGTGCCACTGCACTCCAGCCTGGGCAATGGAGTGAGGCTCCAACCCAACAACAACAAAAAAGCAAAAACAAACAAACAAAAAACCTTCTTAAGGTTCTTAATGTCTACTTAAGGTTCTTAAGTAGACATTCAGACTCACAAGGCACACCACACGTAATCTTAATGGTGGATGCCACATCGTCACCACTATTTATCATCTTCTTTGGGTCATGGAATCTTCTGAGAATTGTAAAACCCTCTTCTGAGAAAAACATATAAACAAAAAATATTGCATCGAATTTCAAGGAGTCTGTGTTAATTCCTGAAGAAGAAAATTCTGACAAAGAATCCCCGATTACAGAGTATGACATTTATATTGGTAATAAGGTAAAACAAGAGAATATGTTGGAATGAACAACAACTGGAGACAAGTTTGTTTGTTACAGTAACTTAAGGCTTGGAAGGAGAAAAATAGAAAGCACTGATAAAGGAGAGAATAAGAGATGGTCTTCTTCAAAGAAACAAAAAGGAATGATAAACATTTGCAATATGAGGATTTTTTAAGAGAGAAAATAGCACTCCTCTGGGAAAAAGCACAAAGAGATTAAGGCAGAAGAACCGACACTAATTAGGAGTACTAACTAGTCAAAGCTATCTGTAATTAATGGCTTTGGCAATTAATTTTTCTTTCTGTTATGAGCTAAAACTCTTAGGTAGATCTTGAAAAAGGCAGTCTGTGGGTAATTACTGATATGCACCTGGGGCTAGGAGTAAGAGATACAGAATAAAGGTAAATGTTTTTAAAGCAATCAAAACTCCCAAATATATTCTTATACAAATGAAAACACTGGATCTCACTGATTTTAAGATGTACTTTTTTTCAGTTTAAACTCTGAAACTGACTCCATCTTATAATCAATGGTGCTGGACAACTGACAGTGTTTTTTTTTCTTTGTGGCACATAATGGTGTGCCTTACAACTGCTGGCCTATTAAGAGTCTATGACCAACCTGGACAACAGAGTGAGACCCCATCTCTGCAAAAATTAAAAAAAAAAAAAAATTAGGCTAGGTGCAGTGACTTAAGACTTATAATCCCAGCCCTTTGGGAGGCTGAGGCGGGGCAGGAGGATCACTTAAGCCCAGGAGTTTGAGACCAGCCTGGGCAACATAGTGAGACCCTGTCTCAAAAAAAAAATTAGCCAAGTGTGGTGGATCACACCTGTGATCCCAGCTACTGGGGAGGCTGAGGCAGCAGGATCACTTGAGCTCAGGAGTTTTGATGCTGCAGTGAGCCATGATCATACCACTGCACTCTAGCCTAGGTGACACAGTGAGACCTTGTCTCAAAACAAAACAAAAAAACAAGATTCTATAAAATACTTCATGGTCTATTGTAAATTAGTAGGATGTAAAAATATCAGGTTAATGCTTTCATACATATTCAGTACAGAGCTATATCTGTATACATATTCAAATGCATATTACATATTCAAATGCAGCAGACTCTATCCAGTTTTACCGTTCTGTCATTTTTTTAACTTTATCATGCGCTCTGCTAACCATGGGTTTCCCAAAGTTCACAGAAACTCAATCTCTAAATCTCTTCAATTTCTAAGAAAGAATCAAATTCATCCTTAGCAAAACACATTTATAGATGGGTTACTTATTCATGTTTATACCTCCCCAGTCCACTTTGGCGTCCCAGGATTTAAAGACAACTCTTAATAACAGGTCTTCTGCCTCTATTTTAAGATGAGGTAAAATGCAGGGGGCGGTGAACGAGGGTGGGAGGAAGGGGGAGTGATTTACTCAAAGTCACACAGTTACAAAAGTGGTCAAAACACTGAAGGACAACAACACAAATGGAAGTAAATGGGACCTAAACATTACCTGGCCCACATGTCTCAGGGGACCTTTCGAAGAAATATTTTGAACACTTCCATGACTATCAAAGCATGATTAATTTCAGCCACATTTATAAAATAGAATAAAACTACTATATTAGATTTACAAATATTAAAAATTAACTCATTCTGTTGGCAAGGGTGAGGGTAAAGAGAGACTCCTATACAATATGGATGGAAGTGTACACTACTACAATTTCTTTGGAGAATAATTTGGAAATAACTGAAAAATATCCTTTGGCTCAGCACATCTCCTTCTAGGATTTTTCTTCCAGGTATGTTCTCATATGTGAACATGAATACTGCAGAGCTGTTTCTAACAGCAACAGACTGGACACAATTTAAATGGTCATCAAGAGGGAGATGGATATACAGTGTGACACATTCATACAGCAGAACACTAATCAGTTATTAAAGCAAGAGAGGCATATATGTGAACCAAAAGAGAATAACCTTCCAGATATCTGATTATATCAACAAAGCAAGTACATATAGCATATATCGTACACAACCATACGTGATTTTAAAAGGGTGGAAGAAGAGAGGTGGGAGACACTAAACACATTTGTATGTTCACACATCATAGAAAAACATGAGAGAGAGCACTAATGTGTCTGTGTCTGGGGTGGGAAACGGGAACTTAAGAAGTTAAGGAAGGAAGCAGACTTACTGTCCACTTATGTAAAAATATTAATTAATATTAACAAATTTCAGTTATGCACAGAAAATGTCACAAATTTCTCTAACATGACAATAAATCAGAAGCTCCTTCGCAGTTTTCCCTCTAAGAATCTGATGAATGTACCTTTCCACTCTTCTATTGTGTGTTCCCTTTCATCTAACTGCTTGTCAGGGATCTTTGGTGGTGGCTGAAAAACACAAGGCAATAATAATTGAGTCAGTATGCTGGGAGTATTTTAACTCTTTGTAGTTATTTGAAATATTAGCCAGACAGATGACTTATAAAAATGTATCATTAGATCAAGACTGATCAATCATCAACTTTCTTATATAGACAGAATAGGAAGACTCCTTCATTGCAGGAAAAAAAATGTTTAACTGTCTTTTTCTTTTCTTAGAGCTCTTGAAATTGCCACATTTTATTTATATCATAGATCATAGAATTCCGTTTTCCTTTGGATATAGTAATTTCTTTTATAACTGAGTTAGGATGTTCCCTCAGAGCATTCAACATCCTAGTTCACTGGTTAGGGTATCCAGGCAAGATTGCAAAAAACAGTGGGAGGTGACTTTATTTTGTGTAGGAGGGGCTCAAATATGCTCATTAGTTTATTTGACGTAGTTTTCATGAAGAAACAGAAAAACATCATCATGTATCTACATTTTTATTTAAAATTAAAAGGTCTCCTCCAAACCTAACTGTAATTCTAAGAATGCAGTATGTTCTGTAAACATTAAGAAAATAACTTACAGCTTCTGCTTCAGAAGGATCATACCAGACATTGATGTACGGGTGTTGGAGAGCTTCATCTACAGAGATCCTTTTAGATGCATCTATTACCAGCATTTTGGATAACAAATCCCTTGCCTGACTGGCTGCAAACATAATGATGTTAATGTACATATATTTGTAAAGATTCTCAAATTATTAATAACTTTCAGCAATTTGAGATTATTTTTTATTTTAAAAGCATATGTTTTAAAAATATTACTGTAAAATTATTTTATACATATGATTAAAATATATAAAATTAAAGAAAAATAAAACCTCATTTTTTTTCCCACCATCCAGAGAAAACCTTGTGTTATGTCCCATAAGAATATGAATACATATAAACACACGAACACATACACACACACCCCAAATGGGATTAAATGTATATATTTGTAAAAAGTACCTTTAAGTTTGTTGTGTTCCGAGTCAGCTGGGAAAAGTACATCAGGGAAGAGTTTCTCGAAGCTATATCCAGCATATTTAGGTCTGTTTTCAACATAAGTCCTTACTGTTGGTTGCAGTTTCTTCATGAATTCAGGACATGGTGTTCCAAGCTGTTCAATAACTTTATTCCACTGATCAATATCTAATATCAAGTAGCTAAGAAAAATACTCCATAACTAATGTTCAACACATTAGTCATAATCATATTATAAGAAAATGGAAATTTAAAAAATCCTAAGAAAGGATGTGGCAGTTACAAATCTTATATCTCACAAGCACCTTGCAAAAGGCAATGATTGTAGATGGACAGAAATGATCAATAAATAAGCTTTGTTAATCTTATTTATTGTGTGTGTTCATACTAACTGATTTTACCTTAAAATGGAAGCTTAAACTCACAAATTCTAAACAAAATTATAAGTAACTAAGAATAATGACAATTACTATCCACAGTGGCTCTAACTGCAAACGGCACACAATGCTATAATAATACACAAAATGTTTCCTTTTCTGTCAGTTTATCAGAAAACATGATTGTATCTCCTAGACTATTTCTAGAACACATCCTGTTTTACTGAGTTTTCTACACTAACAGAAAATAACCAGTTGCAATAAAAATAAAGGCTTCTATAAAAGCGGCATTATCTTTTGCCATTCTTTGTTCAGTTTATGTTTAAAAAAATTTTCTAAAGCTCCGATGCCTATAAAAAAGATTGCTTTTTGGTAAGTTGTAAGGTTGGGATTTCTTAGTCTCCTTTCCTCTAGTCTTTACACTCCAGGAACCTGAAGGCCAAGACCTAAAACTCACTTATCGTAATCTTGTGAATATGGCTTTTTCCATTCTTCCTCCTGAAACAATTCTAAATGTTGCTAGCTGATAAACACATAACAAATCACTGTTAATATAAATATTAAAAGTAGTGGGATGAACAAAAAGCATGAATCCAAAGCTATCGTCACCATATAAAACTACTGCTGAAATTCTCAGATGAAAGGGTATGTTATGTGAGTAATGAGACAACAATCAAAAGACATAAACCACATAGAACATTAACAAAAAGGAGGTGGGGAACAAAACAAAAGGATGGCCAGAAGCAACAGACAGCTCCAAAATTCATATTAAGTTGTACATATTTCTAGACTTAAGTGTATAATTATTAGAAATTTTTAATGCAAGCCATGACTTTTGATTTAGGTTAAATAAATCAACTCAAAGCCAGCAAGTAATTGTGCACAATTACAATTGAGCAGGGTTCTGAACTAACATATGAAACAACAAATGAGGGAAAGAAAAGTCTATGTCAAATAGTAGGTGGTATTTTAAGAGTAATTTAACAATATATTAGGGAGAGACAAAATACATTACACCTGACCAAACTGAAGTGCTATCATACATTTTGACCTTTAGAAACTACATTTTAGGCCAAAGATAAGGATACGATCTGTACCTGGGAACAAAACACCACCTTTGATCATTTCTCCCATGATGCACCCAACTGACCAAATGTCAACTGAAAACAAAATGCAATGACATTAACATAAAGATTCTGGTTAAAATAAAAAAAAAAATAAAGAAAATCACACACACCATGTATACTTTAAAATTATAAAAAGCAGTATAAAATAAAAATGAGTGACAGTGAATGTGCTCTGACTACCAGCAGAGACTGTATGTCCTACTGCCAGATGCAGCCTACAAATATTTCAGCTTATCTCAACAATTTTTGAACTCTAATAGCCACAAACTTTATGCCTGTTTAAAATCCCATCTGTATAAATGTAGCATATTCATTTTCATTAGAGAACATAAAGAAGTTCATCGCCTAACTAATTAACTGCTGCAGCAGCACAAGGATACAGTCCCTTCCTGGAAAGAGGATTTTGTGGCAAACCATTTCTCCCATAATGCACCCCACAGACCATAAATCCACTATGTGTTTGCAGCACAAAAGAAGGAAAAGCAAAGCAAAAGGTCATTAAAATCAAAGAAGCATAATATGACTGCATTATATAAAAACTGCAAAACATCACAAAAAGAAAAAAGTGATCGTAACTTTAGCTCATGGAATAATTTAAAACACAAATTATTTTTTGAAAGTCTTTGGTTCACAAAAGAAAATGTAAAGTGTGGCATTTTAACTACATATCTAATTTCAAAGTGAGAGCTACGCACAGATAATGCATAAATAGAAAAACCCTGCATGTTTTGTCCCTGAGAACTTGTTTATAAAATATGAAACAGAACCAAACACGAACTTTGTAAATAAAAATGTACATGAGGTAGTAAAATTATAAAAATAAAATCTTTATACTATACTATTTAGAAGTTCAACTGTGCATTATACTCTCTAAGTTAAATAAAAGAAAGAAAGCATGAGAAAATAATTCAGCATATTCAAATATTTAACAAATAATCTCTATGAATAATTACAATAAAAAAGTTAATCTAAAGCTCTTTAGAATTTTTAAACTGGATTTCCCAAATATATTTAATTGAGAAGTGCTATGCTTGTTCTGAACTAAAAGTTCATTTGTTTTCTTGGCAACATGATGCCACATTTACCCTACTATCCCAAAAGGAACAAGTGCACAGAGAATTAACAACTAATCAAGGAAAACTGTAAGAGAAATGTATTTCATGTTTCCTAACTGAAGTTTTTTAAAGCCATAAAACCAAACTGCTTTTGATTTAAGAAGTTAGTTTTGGCTAGACACAGTATGACAGTTCCCACGAACTGACTATCTAGAGTCTCCTGGAAGACTTACTGATGACCCTTGCCAACTGTAAATGGGAATCCCAATCAATGTTGACAAGAATCTGCTAGACACAGAAACAGACAATTGGGAATCTCCACCTACTTAGGGAAACTGATAGTACACCGTGGCATTTTATGACTTTGGGTTTGGCTATCACACAAAAAGGAGAGAGTAAGTGCTTGCAGTTTAATAGGAAAAGAGGGAAGAATGAGCAATTTAGAAGGAAAAGCCTTAGAAACTTGCATTTGGTTGTGACATCTGAAGGTCCAAATTCTTTAAAATGACAAGAGGAAAACAGCACAAATAGATGTCAGAAAGAGACGTGCCCTTTACTCATGTTAAAGGACTTAGAAAATTAAAGCCTGTACTTTCTAATACAGTACATTCTTACTAAAAGGCTGCCAGTTCACTGAAGAATCTTAGGAGCTAAACTGGGAATTACTTTTGGAAATACTGTGGAACTAAAGTTTCCCTAAAATTTCATATTAAAATGAATGAACATTTTTATTTTTATGTCATGGTTCAGCTTTCAAGGATAAGGTTTTAGAAAAAAAAGTTAATATTTATAAATTAGTGCCTCAGAGAAAAATTTTTTCTAAGGTTTTCCTTTTTGACAAAAATCTATTAGAATAAATCTTCTCTACAGATTTTAAAGAGAATGTTAAACTTTAAATATCCAGCATACAACTTATGTTGGTAACTTCCAGAAAAGCCTATTTTTAAACAAAAGTATTTTGAAAGCTGCAAGCATGAGAGAAGATATTATCTGGGCCAGTGAAGACTAGGAACGTAAGTCTGATTCATGCACAACTCTAGTTCTAAGCTAACTGCTTAGTCTATTAAGCAGTTAAAAATATATTGATTACACTGCTTTCCAAAATGCTCTGAGTAGACTGCAATAAAAGGCACATAAAGCAAAGTTGTTAAAATGGGTGGGAGGCTGGGCGTGGTGGCTCAAGCTCCTGTAACCCCAGCACTTTGGGAGGCCGAGGCAGGTGGATCACCTAAGGTCAGGAGTTCGAGACCAGCCTGGCAAACCTAATGAGACCCTGTCTCTACTAAAAATACAAAAATTAGCCAGGCATGGTGGCACGTGCCTGTAATCCCAGCTACTCAGTAGGCTGAGGCAGGAGAATGGCTTGAAGCCGGGAGTGGAGGCTGCAGTGAACCAAGATGGCACGACTGCACTCTAGCCTGGGCGATAGAGAGAGACTCCATCTCAAAAAAAAATAAATAAATAATAATAATAATAAATAAAATGAGTGCGAGGTATTATTAAAAGGAGGAAGTACTTATGTTTAACCTTGCTGGCTAATGTAGTTATAGTCATTAAGCATTACATTTGACTCCATTTCCTAGGGTGGGAGTGGGAAGGCAAGAAAGTGATCTACATAATTTTTAACTAAGAGAGGAACCACATGTCAGCTCTTTTTTTATTTTTTATGTTTTTGAGACAGTCTCACTTTGTTGCCCAGGCTGGAATACAGTGGTGCAATCTCGGCTTACTGTAACCTCCACCTCCCGGGTTCAAGTGATTCTCATGCCTCACCTCTGGAATAGCTGGGACTACAGGTGCACACCACCACACCTGAGTAATTTCTGTACTTTCAGTAGAGACAGGGTTTTGCCATGTTGCCCAAGCTGGTCTCGAACTCCTGGCCTCGAGTGATCCACAAGACTCGGCCTCCCAAAGTGCTAGGATTACAGGTGTAAGCGACCACACCCAGCCTCAATTCTTCATATGACAGTTTTTCTCAGTGCTAATTTCTGGCAGGGAGCTATCCTAAGATCATATTTATAGGACACTGACACATAACACCATATCTATGACCATATCTATGACAATCACAGCAGATGCAAAAGCAATCTTTGTGCTGGTGGGTCACTTGAAGTTATCAATTCTCAAAAAAAAAAAAAAACCCTTCAAATTTCAGGTAGAGAGTAAGTAAAAAGAACAGCATATTTATTAAGTATAAAAAATTAATAGCAAATGTTTAAAGTATTTGTTTTTAATCAGTTCAGAAAATCAAGCTCAGCTTAATCGTATATTTTATTTTTAAAAATCTTAAAAGTTGACTTATTACAATTTCCTGATTCAAAATGAACTGCTACTCCAGATTCCTTGCCAGAAAAAATGTCTAGGTTTTACTCTTGGTAGTATTTTGGATGAAGTCACCACATTTTTTAAAATGATGGTTTATTTCCATAAAATCCCATGGTTATTAGCAGATTTATTCATCTCCTAAATTTCTAAGACTCAAAATTTCTTCCTAAATTAAATATAAGTAGGTATATCCATAAAAAATGTTTAAATTCATGATCTACATGCCAGATAATTTTGTTCAACACTGATTCTTAGGTCAATTGATACAATCGGATACACCCACACAAAATACTAAAAGTCGTTTCCTTAAGGCTGGACATAAGGTTTTAATGAAACTTTACTGCTTCCTTCAAGAGGTCACCTTAATTATCCAGCAGCTTTGCAGAGGCCTTAATGTACCTCTTAAAGTTTATGATGAGTGCTACCGCTATGATCTTTAGTTTCATGGGGTTGGAAATATGGGCAAATATCACTGATGTACACTAATAATAAACTGTCAGTACACTCTATACATCCCTGAGACCATGTTAGAAATGTTCACTTCCAAGTTATAGGCAAGCAAAGAGCATAAATTCTGTCTCAGGGCCATGGCAACAAATTCTTTATCCAATGGTAGTACTGATGGTATGTATCTGTATTTGAACAAATAAGGGCCCCAAGTTTTTCCAAACATTTATGACAAAATTTATAGTTACCTGCAAACTTTTGATACACATTTCAAACAATGGTACATACTTAATTCAATGTTCTTCAGCTTAAGTATTTACATAAAAATTCTAATGAATAAAGAAAAAAGCTAAATCAGAAAAATATTTCAAATAAATGTGTGTGCTGACCGTTTTCCTTGTAGCCCATGCCAAGGATGACCTCGGGTGCTCTGTAGTAGCGAGTCACTACGTAAGGCGTCATCATAAAACTCGTTCCTGCAGTCCTGGCCAGACCGAAGTCAAGAATCTTCAAAGTGCAGTCAGATTTTACTACTATATTACTGGGCTTTAAGTCCTTCAGAAAATAAAAATTAAAAAATGACTGCTATGATATATATGAAAATCCTACAGTTCACAATAAAGTTATACTATCCCTTGCAAAACATTCATGTTAACTGTTCATTTTTCTCACTGTAATATTACTGCACTGATTCATCATTACAAGGCAAACCTGTGGGATTTAAAATTTATGAATACATACAGTTATTGGAGAAGTTAGTAATGTTTTAATTGCTAGAAATTATGATTAGCTAGACATTTTCGGTTAAATAGAGTAAAAGGGATTTGAAAAGACATTGGAAAGCTCACATAAAAAACTACTATAGTAAAAGAGTGATAAGTTAGCACTTATATTCATTTGCATAACACATTACCAATATTTTTAAAATCTCATTTTAAAGTCACAATAAGTTTTATACAGATGTTATAAGTCAACAATGAGCCATCCTGTCATTCAATAGCAAATGTTATTTGATCTTTTAGATTGGCAGATACCCAGTTCCAAAGGACCAGAATAGTCATTATCCATTTTTCCATCCCTGATTTCCCACCTGGAGTCCCACAAATTTGCTATAAAATTTTTGTCTGTTTGTAGAAGTAGGACACCATTGTCTTGGTGCCACTAATCTATAAAATTACTTGCTATAGATACTACTGAATAATTCAGAATTTTTCACCTGGCCCCCACTTTAACATATTCTGTGCTGTGCCAATCAAAAGTCAGGTAGCAGCATAAACACTCACGGCTTCATGTTCAATATACTATGCCTGTTAGCCTTGATGAATACTATTACAAGCCAAAGGACCAAACAAGTAAGAAAGCATAAATCCACAACACAAATGCACGTATTACCTGTACTGACATGCAGTATACATATTAAATATCACTGATTAATACAAAAAAGGAAAACAGTCTGCTTGAAAGACAACTATTACTTTTGTAATGTTAACATACAGAAAAGCATGTTGTCTTTAACATATTTCGACAGGCAATCATGGATGGGTTTAGAAGATATGTAATCTAGTGGTTTTATTAAATTAAATATACCAACAATTCAAAAGTCTTAATGAAACAGAAGAAAAACTTTTTCATTATTGGTATTCTGTAAGTATAATGTTGCTAATACTTCTAAAATACAGTACCTCAGCAAAGAAACACTGCATGTTCAAGAACAAATATTACAAGCTTTGTAATAAATATTTAATATTTATTTGATACTACTTTAATGTTTAGCATGATGGTTGAAGGCTACTGGCTCTTTATACTAGCAGATTCCAATTTAGAAATAACATTCCAATTTTAAGTACTTTATTGTGAAAAAATTAAAAGCAAAGTAACAATTTTTAAAAACAGGTATTTTTGTTAAGAACAAAAATTGTCAAAAAAAGCCTCAAAGACTATTAACTGAAATTCATCCATATATATCATTATGTACCTACCTTACAGCTGTTAATTATGCTAACTATATCTAAGAATAGTAACTTAGAATTTATGTAGGCAGTGGAACTAACCCAACATTCTGTCTTCTTCCCCCAATTTTTCTAGCTTCCTCAGTTAGGCAAGGACACATGGGTAGCTCTAATTCATGGGATGTGAGTGGAAGTAAAGAAGAGAAGGGCCAGTGCACAACTTCCTGTGGTCTCCTGACCTGCTTTGGTGATTAGGAACGTTCCAGGGGATTCTCTAGCAGCCTGGGTTGCTGATCATTTATGTAAATGTACAGTCCACAAACACCACACATTCAGCAAAGGAAATAAGCCTGAGTCGTGCTAAGCCACTGAGAATTAAGGGTTTATCTGTTACTTCGGTACAGCTGAGTCTATTCTAACACTGAAACTGGTGTCAGAAGTGGGGTGTTAACTATTATAAAAACATAAGATCCCAGCTTAGCAATTGAGCAGCAGGGAAACTCACATCAAAGGTTGGAAAGGTGATCTAGGTTATGTAGTAGTAAAACACTTCATGAAGCTGTCACCTGCACCCAGCCACTTGTACAATGAACCTGAAAGCTCTAGCACACGGACTGGCAAATTAAGGCCTGTATGCTTTGTAAAGAAAGTGTTGATGCTGAAGCACAGTCATGCTCATTCAAGTACATATCACCTATGCTGCTTTTGTATCACGATGGCAGAGTCTTGTAGCTGTGACACAGACTATTATCCACAAAGCCTAAAATATTTACTACAAGGCTTTGACAGAAAAAGTTTGTTGAACCCTGCTCTAGAAGAGACTGGACAGCAAAACTTCAGTAGTTTGTGTTGGTAGCTACTGGCTGCATTTAAAAGTAGTAGCCATATTTTAAAGCAGAAATAAAAGGGAACAGAGCCTAGGATTTCAGGGTCTTGCCCTTTTGAAAAAGCTAAACGCTACCAGACCCCTAAAAGAAGGTATGGTAGATTGTTCTGCAAATATTTCTGCCCACCCCAGACTGTGTCCTCACCCTGCTGACAGGTTCAGTCACTTGTCTTAATTTGGGCAATGAAATACGGGGGAATGTGTTTGATTCAGCATAGCTCTTGCTCTTCTACATTTCACCATGAGAAAAGGATGTCTCTGGTGGATGCTTCAGTCTAGATGCTGAAACCTGAATATGGGACAAGCCTGAACTTGACCCATGGTTTGGAGCAGTGTCACACAGCCAACTCTGCAGACCCAAGTAAACAATAAATATTGCTTTAAGCCACTGATATCTTGGATTGGTTTCTATGTATCATTTTCACATAATAATTCTGAAACCCTTTCAGGGAAAAAGTCCTGTAAAATCCTTCAATTGATAAAATTGCCTCAGTCTGCCAACAGAAGCTTGAACGCTTACAGGAAGACTGAAGACAGCCTCAATTAAGTCCAAGAATACAGGACCCATGAGTTAAAAAAGATGCTTTGAAAAGAACTACAATCAGAAAGATAAGAAATCTCTTAAATTTCTGAAAGAGTTAGCTAACTGTCAGACCTAACGCCAAAGGTCTATGATCCTTCTATATTTCAAACAGGAGTTTTCAACTCACAGCAATTTTGCCCCAAAATAATATTTGGCAATGTCAGAAACATTTTTGATTGTCACAACTGGGTAGTGCTACTGGCATCTAGTGGGTAGAGTCCAGGAATGCTACTAAACATTCCACCATCAAAAGAAAGAACTGTTTGGTCCAAAATGTCAATAGTGGCAAGGCTGAGAAGGGTGGCCTTAAAATGACCCTTGGGCCCCAATCTTTTATAGATAAGAAGCAGGCTGAGAAACATGAGCAGCCCTCAAGGGAAATACATTCTTCAATACTCACTTTAGATATATTCATGAGGATAGCAAAAAAGATGACTCTTCCACAGGGTAGAGCCAGGTACTTGAGAACCACAGAGAATAGTCAGGGCTGAGGAGGAATATTCCCCTCACCCAGGGCAAGGGACATTCACAATGTCTGTACAGAAGAATTTAATTACAACTAACCAATGACTGCATTTTTCAGTTTTCTAAATGGGACTGCTCACTGTGACAACACTGGCCCTGTCTGACCACTCTATCTACAGTATTTGGCAGGGGAGCAGTGGTTATAGGGGTGGCCATATAATTTGGTCATTCCAGTTACTATGTTTCTGGACCAAGACGAGCAATGTCTGGATTTGATAAGAATAGAACTTTGGGTTATTTCCCTTGAGGAGGGTGTGGAATAAAGGGAGCAAAGGAATGTTTGCCAGCCAGAAGGACAGACTGTGGCAGAGGCTGGGGCTCACCACTATTCTGAAGTCTGCTCTCCCTACATTTCCCGGTTTCCTTACAAATTAGACAAGTCCTACGGCTAGCTCTGTCAACGTACTCTAAGCAGAAGTGACGTGTGTCACTTCCAAGCAAAGAAGAGCCATGCACATCACTTGGCTTTCTCTTTCCGACAAAGTGACCCGCAACTATCTAGATGGTGGGACCTCATCAGCTTGGGTCTCAGAGTAGTAATCCTGACTTGCCCTGAACCTCTACCTAAGGGATGAAAGGCCAGGTTATTTTACCAAGTAAGTAACCTCAGACTAGCAGAAGTACTAGCCAAGGGTGGAGGTGAATCTAGAATAAGTAGTAGAGCAGAGATGAGTACCAATCGTGGCCTCAAGACCAGCTGCAAAAAAACTTCAATGCGTATCTCCACTCTAGATTTCCCAAAGAGCCCAAGCTAAGATAAAGGGAGATTCTTCACAATAGGTAACAGACCACAGTAGGTCTCATTAGCTCCACTTTATCACATTAAGAAATTTTCTACAGATGCACTTTATTTTCACCACTTTATGTACTGATACTAAGGGAGTTAGACTATCCCAATACTGCTGTGCTTGTGCCATTCTTTTATTTTCTACACTTTTAAGCTTTTTGTATAGCAACTCTACTTCATGTATAATTGTATATCCTAATTGGATAGTATCTTTCACCTTTAAAATGTGAGACTATTCCCAGAGAGGAACGCTTCCTCTCTGAACCTACCATATTCAACTTTATCTCATTAAATAGAGTTACCCTTGTTTTGATGTTTGCATTTTCCTGGTATATGTCTACCAACCTCTCTGCCTTCAGCCTTTTGAAGTTAGCTACAAATGTTTGTGTTATGGAAACATGCAGTTGTTGTTGAGCCTTTGCGTGCTGCCAAAATCTGACTTTTTAAACTAAGGAACTAATCCCATTAGCATACTACCATAAATATTGTTCTTTTGTAATTTTGTGTTTGTTTTTTTATGGTTCTTGTTGTTTCCATTGTTTTCTATCTTCTACCATTTAGTCTGTTTTTCTGGTCCAGCCACCTGCCATCCTTGTTAATCTGGAACCTTTCTATTTGGAGGGGTGCGCCTTACTAAAATCAAATGAACTTCCACAATGTTGGATTACTGCTCCGGTCTAAGGACTCAGGAAACAAACAAACCAAACCAAGAAGTTTCACTCGTCTGCTCTACTTCACATAGTGTATGAGTAGGGGCTCAGGAAGATAAAATACTCTTCCATTTAAAGAGATTTTTATTATGTTATTTAAATACTGCACTAGACAAATGATTAGAGCAGCTGTATACGTAATATACAAGGAATTCACTTAGAATGATAATTAAGGATAAGCCTGTAACAGGATTGTTCACTTAAAAAAAAAGCCTCAATAGCTCAAAGACGCAACTGTCTTATACTATGAAAACTATCTCTATTTATTTTATTACATGAGTGAGGTTATTTGACGCAGATGACTCAGAAGGAAGATGTAATGACACAGATGACTCAGAAGGAAGATGTAATTCCATTGAATTAAATAATTTTTTAAAATTCCAGGCTGGGCATGATGGCTCATGCCTGTGATCCCAGCACTTTGGGAGGTCGAGGCAGGTGGGTTGCTTGAAGCCAGGAATACAAGACCAGCCTAGGCAACATGGCAAGACCCCATCTCTACAAAAACATAAAAAATAAAAATTTGCCAGGCATGGTGGTACATGCCTGTAGTCTTAGCTACTTGGGAGGCTGAAGTGAGATGATCACTGAGCCCAGGAGGTAAAGGCTGCAGTGGGCCATGTTCATGCTACTGCATTCATGCCTGGGTGACAGAGAGAGACCCCGTCTCAAAAAAAAAAGTTAAAAAAAAAAAAAAATTCCTTTCAACCTATTGAACCCAGGAGTTCAAGGCTGCAGTGAGCTATGATTACACCACTGCATTCTAGCCTGAGTGACAGAGTAAGATTCTGTCTCTTAGGAAAAAAAAAAAAATTCCTCTCTCAATACTTTTCAAAGAATAAGCTAAATTTAACTAAAATACAAAACATACCAACACAAAAAAATTTTACATAAATGTTCACGTCAGCATTACCCATAATAGTCAGTGGTAACAACCCAAATTATAATCAAGTGATAAATGGATAAACAATCTATTCAGTGAAATATCTGTCAATAAAATAACACGAAGAACTGACACACAATAAATACATGAATGAATCTTGAAAAGATTATGCTAGGTGAAATAAGCCAAGCATAAAATATCACATATAATTCTATGTATATGAAATGTCCAGAATAGACAAATATACAAAGACAGAAAGTAGATTAATGTTTGCTTAGGGCTAGAGGTGAAAGGAACACAGAAGAATAGGAAATAAAGACGAGTGGATTTGGAGTTTCTTTTAGGGCAATGGAATTTTCTAAAGTTAAGTAATGAGCACACAATCTTCAAATATAATAAACACTGAGTTGTACACATTAAATGAATAAATTGTATGGCATGTAAATTATATCACAAGAAAAGCAGTTAAAAATCCCAGAAAACAAAAATATGAAATATTTCTGAATATATATACATATAAAACAATTCTGGCAAATACTCAATCTTGGTAACTTGGTAATATTCTATTTCCAACTTGGAATGACTGGTAATAATAGCAGCTTATTTTGTATACTGCTTTACCTCAGAGCAAAAACAAACTTTACACTGCTCCATATAAATCAGTGAAATACAATGATCCTAAGAATTTGATGAGAGGCAGTGATGTCAGCCAAAACAGCTCCACAGAAGCACCATAAAACATCAAAGTGTCAGAATACATTTTTTCAGAATTCTGGAAATTATTCAAAGGTTTATGGCAATCAAGTGAACTCAGAACCAAGAAAAAGGCAACTTAAAAACAGGAGACCACCTCACACCCATTAGGACGGTTACTATGAAAAAAATAAAGTGTTGGTAAGAACGAGGAATAACTGAAACCCTTCTGTACTACTCGTGGGAATGTAAAATGGTACAGCTGCCATGGAAAACAGTGTGGCAGTTTCTCAAAATGTTAAAAAGAATACCCATGTGATCCAGCAATTCCACTTCTGCCTATAGCCCAAATGAACTGAAAGCACGGTCTCAAAGAGATATTTGGACAACTCTGTTCATAGCAGCATTATTCACAACAGCTAAATGCAGAACCAACCCAAGTGCCACTGATGAATGGATAAGCAAGTATGGTATATACATAAACGGAATATTATTCAGCCTTAAAAACAAATAAAATTCTCACATATGCTGCAACATGGATAAATCTTGAGCACATTATGCTAAGTGAAATAAGCCAGCTGCAAGGAGGCAAATACTGCATGATTCTGCTTATATGAGGTATTTATAGTAGCCAAAATCATACAGACAGAAAATAGAATGATGGCTGTCGGGGGCAGGGAGAGGAGAACAGGGAATTGTTGTCTAGTGTGTGTAGAGTTTCAGCTTCACAAGATGAAAAGAATTCTGGAGATGGATGGTGGTGATGATTGCACATTATGAATGTATTTAATGTCACAGAACTGTGCATCTAATGGTTAAAATGGCACATTTTATATGTATTTACTACAATAAAACGGTGGGGAAAAAACATCGGGAAATATTTCCAGCATTTTAACTAGTCTTTGGCTCTACCTGCCTCACTAACTAGGCAAGGATTTTGAAGAAAGCAGCCACATTTTCAGTGTGAGACCCTAGTCCTAGGCTAGATAGAGGCAATCCTTGAAAACATCGTTAAGGCAAGTAAATAGCCCAATGCTGCCTGGAACAAAACATTAAAGTGGAGGAGAAAACAAGATATGGCATACCATCAAGCATACCAACTTTGCATGATGGGTGTTCCAAAAGGAGAAGAAAGAGAAAAAGGAGCAGAAAAAATATTTGAAAAAATAATGACTGAAAATTTGCTAAATTTGATGAAAGATATGAATCTATTTTTTCTTTTTAGCTTCCTTCCATCCTGATCAAAAGACATGAATCTACATATCCAAGCTACTGAATGAATTCTAAGATGGATGAACATAAAGAGATCTGCACTAAGACACATTACAATCAAACTGTTAAAAGTCAAAGACAAAAAGCATCCTGAGAGCAGCAAGAGAGGTGCATTTGTCACTTATAAAAGATCCTCAACGAGCTTAACAGCTGATTTATCATTGGAAACCATCTAAAACAAACAGCAACGGATGATACATCTGAAGTGCTAAAAGAGGCCGGGTGGAGTGGCTCACACCTGTAATCCCAGCACTTTGGGAGGTCAAGGTGGGTAGATCCCTTGAGGTCAGGAGTTCGAGACCAGCCTGACCAATACGGTGAAACTGTCTCTACTAAAAATACAAAACATTAGCCAGGTGTGGAGGTGGGCCCCTGTAATCCCAGTTACTTGAGAGGCTGCAGCAGGAGAATTGCTTGAACCTGGGAGGTAGAGGTTGCAGTGAGCCGAGAATCAAGAAGACAAGACAAGACAAGACAAATGGGAGGGGAGGGGAGGGGAAGAGAGGAGAGGGTGGAGAAAGGAAGGAAGGGGAAGCGGGGGGAGGGAGGGAAGGAGAGAAAAGAAAGAAAAGAAAAAAGAAAGGAAGGAAGGAAATGGTAAGACATCCTATGTTAGTGAATTGGAAGACTAAATATCCTGACGACGGCAAAACTACCTAAGCAATCTACAGATGCAATGAAATCCTAATTAGAGTTCTAATTGCCCTTTCTGCAGAAATAGAACAATACTCAAATTCATATGGCATCACAAAGGGCTCTGAAAAGCCAAAACAAAATTGAAAAAGAATAAAGCTGGAGAATTCATACTTCTCCATTTCAAGTTACTACAAAGCTAAAAGTGATCAAAATAGTGTGGTACTAGTATAATATATGGTCAGGCACATAGGAAATATGTGAAACAGAACTGAGAGTCCAGAAATGAAACCATGTATCTATGACCATCTGTTTTTTGACAGGGGTGCCAAGACCATTCAATGGCGAAAGAATAGTCTCTAACAAATAGTGCTGGCACAACTAAATTGCTACATACAAAAGAATGAAGTTGGAACCTTACCTCACACCAGACAAAAAATTAACTCAAAATAGATCAAAGACCTACATGTGAGAGCTTAAACTATAAAACTCCTAGAAGAGAACATTAGACTAAATCTTCATGGCCACAGGTTTGACAATGGATTCTTATACATGATATCAAAAGCACAAGTGATGAAAGAAACAATTGTATTTCATTAAAACTGTAGCTTTTGTGCATTAAAGGAAATCATCAGCAAAGTGAACAGACACCCTACAGAATGGGAGAAAATATTTACAAATTATATACCTGATAAAGATTTCATATATGAAATACATAAAGAAATGCTACAACAACAACAAAAAGACAAACAACACAATTTAAAAATGAGCAAAGGGCTTGAATACACATTTCTCCAAAGAAGATACACAAATGGCCACAAGCACATGAAAAATGCTCAACATTATTATTCGCTAGGGAGATGCAAAGTAAAATCAGAAGAAACACCACTTCATACCCATTAGGATGGCTAGAATTAAAAAAGTCAGATAACAAGTACTGACAAGGATGTGAGGAAACTGGAACCCGCGTACACTGCTAGTGGGAATGTAAAATAGTGCAGTTACTGTGCAGTTTGATGGTTCCTCAGAAAGTTAACTACAGAATTACCATATGACCCAGTACTTCCAGTCACAGGTATATCCCAAAGGACTGAAAACAGATATTCAAACAAATATTTGTGAGAGAATTTTCATAGCACTATCTATAATAGCTGAAAAGTAGAAATAACCCAAATGTCCATCAACGGATGAATGGATAAACCAAATATGGTATATAGAATATTATTCAGTCATAAAAAGGAATGAACTATTGATACATGGTACAACATGGAGAAATCTTGAAAACATCACATGATATTTCATATAAATGGAAACATAAATGCAAATCTATAGGCACAGAAAGCAGACTGGTATCATGCCAGGGCAAAGTAAGAAACATGGGGATTTTTTGCTTAAGAAACATGGGGATTTTTTGGGTGGTAATGAAAATATTTTAGAATTTAATATGGATGGTAGTTGTACAGCACTGTCAATGTACTAAAAATGACACTTTAGAATGGTTAATTTTGTTACATGAATTTCACCTCAGTTAGAAAACAAAGAGTACGATGATAGTTTTTTCTACTAACCCGATGAATAATTCCAGCAGAGTGAAGGTGCTTGATTCCACACAGCATCTGATAGAGAAGGTAGGACATTCTTTCATGATCTAGTTCCATCTGAATCACTTGGCAAAGATTTGCATCCATGAGCTCCATGACTATGTAACTTTATGAGTGAAAAAAAGAGAACAACAGCTAAAGTGTCTAGCAGTAATCTAAGAAAAATGTATTAACAAAATTTTAATTATTACACTTACACATCTTGAAATTCTTCTAGGGATTTCTGTGGTGTGAAAACATTCAAAAGGCCAATTATCTATAATAAAAGTTGAGAGAAAAATTAGAAACTACTTTCTAATATTTTAATTGGAGAACTACAAATTCATGGGTTAAAAAAACTACCATCAGTTTAAAATCTTTCTTTACATTCTAAGCTCAAGTAATTGCTTTTATTTTATATATTGCAACTTTATGGGCAGGAGTTGGAGTAGGGGATGGATAGGTGGAGGCACAGAGGATCTGTAACCCATTTATCTGTAATTCCATTTATGAACCGTCAATTATCAAGCACTTACATTATACAAACCTCTACATAATTTCAAAGCTCTACATAATTTAACAGCAAGTCTTAAATCCCTTCTACTAGCTCTTTTCCAATTCAGTATCTCTATATAATCTCAGCCCTTTCCTCCTTTGGTTCTTCATAATACTGCACTTGCCCAGTTTTCTTCATTCCCAGTCTATTTCACTGGATCATCCATAAGCATATCCCTTCTTTCCCACTACTATGTTTAATCTATTTCTTTTCACTTTTTGCATGGACATCTCACAAATAAGATAACACTGAATTCATTTTCATTCCTACCCAAACCCCTTACTTTTCCAGTGTGCCTTCTCTTTTACAAAAGGCGGCTTAGGGTGATTTTTGACTCCTTTTTCAGTATATGCACCATAATAAATACTCATAGAATGCTGTCCATTCTACTGTCAATCTGACCTTCAATCTCTTTTTTCCATTCCCTGTGCTATAAACAGGTTGAAGACTTTAACATCTAGACTGTTCATGCTATAATTCCTTCTAACACTAGTGTTAGAGATTGATTGCCGCCCCCCACACACTCCACACAATTCATATGTCTAGCTTCCAATGTGATAGTATTTGGAAATGGGGCCTTTGGAAGGTACTAAGGGTTAGATTAGGTCATGAGAGTGGGGCCCTCATAATGGAATTAGTGGCCTAAAACAAGGGAAGAGAAAGAGCAATTTTTCTCTCCCTCTCCTTGAGCACACACTGAAGAAAGGCAAGTGAGGACAAGGTGAAAAGTTGGCCACCTCCAAGTCAGGAAGCAGGCCCTCATCAAGAATCAAATTGGCCAGCAACTTGATCTTGAACTTCCCAGCCTACAGAATTGTGAGAAATAAATCTCCGTTGTTTAAGACACCCAGTGTACAGTATTTTGTCACAGTGGCCTGAGCTGATTAAGGTCACTAACAATGGTTTTCTACAAATTCAGCTACCATTTACTGCCTATAACATGGTAAAAGAAAGACCTGATCATATTACTAACCTCCTCATAAATTTAAAGCCAACAAATAAATTCTAAAACTCCCTTGCAGTGTATTCCAAAAGCCTCCATGATATGCCATCAACTCACTTCATCTCCTGCTAAGTCCTATATTAAACGTCATACTTTGGCTATGCTAGTTTCAAGAACGTCATTTTAAAAATGTTTTGATGCTTTTAAACATACTATTCCCTATGCTTGTCATTTATCTACTGAACTTAATTATTTTCCAGGTGAACCTCTTTTGTAGATTTTGACAACCCCTAGTTCTTGAAAGAGTTGACTATTCTACTTTGTCCCCAGTTATCTTCTAATGTTGTTATGGTATTCAGCACACTGTAGTCTAGTCTCATTTTCACATCAGCTACATCCCTACCACAGAGAATTCTTATTAGAAAGAACTGTGTCTTAATCACTTTTATTGCCCTGTATATGGCAAGTTACATGACACACATATAAAAATGTTTGCTGACAATGATACTTAGGGATGGGAATTTGTTTTTCAGGCATAAACTTTATAAGGGCAATAACATTATAAGGGCATAACTTTATAAGAAAAACTGATGTTTTTCTTCTAATAATTCAGCTTTACATAAGGTTTTTAAATATTTGTTCAGTGAATACGTTCGTAAAAATAATACACCAGAAAGGGTCAAACAAGTTTAAGATAGAGAAATGGTAATAAGGAAGCATCTGCCTGCTCTAAATAAGTTCAAGTCTACCAACCACATGCAATGCACAATAGGAGACTTCGACAAATAGTAAATCTAGTCTCATTAATAATATCAGAAAAGCCCTAGACTGGAACAGAGGTATTAAAGATTAAAGGCATACAGAGACAGAAAGAAGATTAGTGGTTGTTTAGAACTGAGAAGGATGGGAGGTAGGGGAATGACAGCTAAAGGATAAAAGATTTCTTTCTGAGGTGATAAAACTATTCTAGAACTGACTGCAGTGATGGTCCTACATATCACTGAATACACTAAAAACCATTGAATGGTATACTTCAAATGGGTGAATTGCATGATACAGAAATTATATTTCAATAAAGCTGTTATAAAAAAGATTCTAACAGATAGTCGTCCTATTTTTCAAAAAGGGAAATAAAGGAAATTAAATTATATCAGTTATAGACTGGACAGCCAAGCAAAAGTCGATGATTGATTAGTGGTGGTATATAACTACTTCAAAAGAAGTAACAATTACCAGGAGCAGGTAAAAAGTTCATTGAGAAATACTATTTCCTTTCATGAATAAAAACAACAAAGAACAATAGCAATAAATCAGAAAAATGCAACTAGACACAGTATATGAAGAGTTCAAAACGGCATTTTAGAAAATGTTTCTAATAATAACATCCATGGGAATAAGATGATGAATTGGAAACAGCTGGATAACTGTGATAGACACATAATTTCTGCAATATGCTCAAAAGTTGCTAATCAATTAATTCAGCTATTACAGAGACATCCTGAGCAAAACTGGGAAGTGAAGCCCACAAGTGAAAAGGCAGAACAAGGAAGAAAAAAGCAATCACTAGTAGACCAGGAAGAGTAACCACATTTCACCTTTGAAATGTAATAGGGAGAAACAGGAAGTACTATACGTAATTCTCCATAATCAAAAGAAAAAATATAAAGACTGGGTGAGACGGGACCTGCAAGGCAGGCCTGTAACAAAGAAAGAAAACGGGAATCAGATGGGGACATAATTTCTAAACAGGGTTTTAATGTCTACGGCTAAGAGATGACATGCCTCAGCTCCTCTCAGAAGATCTGATCAAACATGCAGTAGGGTGTGCTAGGTGGCTTACGCAGTACTGTGCGCTAGGTCACTTTCAAAGCATGCTCAGAGATAAACAGCCAAGATTAAAAAAGAAACTCGAGACCATCTATGAAAAGAATGAGAAAAACCAGGGATGCTTAGACCAATGAAGAGACAATCTGTACAGAGGATGACATAGTTTAAAAGGCAAAACACTACAAAAACATCCATCCATTGGGGAGTGGAATAATTTAGTTACCATTTCCAGTTTTCCCATATTTAGCTTTACACTCACTCACTGAACAAACATATTCTGAGTACCTACTCTTGTCCATACTCTTCTAGGTGCTGAGAGTACTGCCTGGATAAACCTCTGCCACCCCTGCTAGAAGCCTAATCATGTGACATGCTTAGTCATACTCCATGCAGTTGAAGGAATCACCTTTCTTTGCAGTCACCCAGGCTTGAGAGGTGGGAGTAACTGAACTCCTCCCGAAGGAAAAACTAAGGCAACACCACCATTGCCATGGAACTGTGTTCATAGGCCATAAGGGGCACGAGCAGCTCTATCCATTGGCAGGACGCCACCAGCAAAACTGTGATGAGCAACACATCAGGTTCCCACTTGGAACAAGAATGGCTACCACAACTTCTTCCCTATCATTATCTACCTCTAACCTTTGTCTCTTGACTTTTTTTTATGCCATTCTTTCTCTCTGAAGGCTCCTTTCCTTCAACAATCCAATTTTTACCCCATCTTTAAGAGTCAGCCTAGGTCTACTCCTCCCCAAAGCCTTCCCAGCTCATTAAAGCTCACAGAAATTGTCCCTCTTTTTAGATCTCAATATATGGGCCACTATCATCATTTGACAAACGTCCACTGCTTTGTGATGTTTGATACTTAACTTTCTGTATGTCTGTTTTGTATTCAAAACACCATTGTAAGCTCCCGAAATAAGGGGCCTAATCCTGAATTTGCACGAATTTTTTTCCCTTGGTAATGAACCCAATAACTCCAATACACAGAGGCTTGCATATATTTAGCTCTCAAAATGTGGTAAATTGTATTATCTGCAGTCAGAAAGTACTGCACTCATTATATTATATGAACTCTTTTGGACAAACACTACGAAATGTCTTTAGTCAGATACCTTCGGTTTAGGACTGCCTAAAAGTGTCCCTTACACAATTCACTCCTAGTTTATTTCCTCAACTGAAGAAATCATTCCATTAGAACAACCACAAAAGTATGAATATGCTCAATGTAAGTTTAAAAAAGTGTAATTGTTTATTCTCAAAATGAGTACATGTATCTTTACAAAGCCTCCTCTTCGCAATCATTAGAAAATGCAATTAGAAACATGTTAATACTCTCTAGATATTTTCAAAAACTTTCTGCTAAACCCATTATCATCATGAAGTGACCAGTGAATACTGCCATCACTTAAAGAGGTGGGAGTGGGGTAGGGAAAAGTGATATAAATTTTATATTCAATATGATTAGAGTGTCAAAGTATAATGGGAACAATTTCATCTCTGTGCTAATGCTACAGTTTTCTGAAATGTCAGCCTGACAGAGACAAAAAGCAGAAGATGAGATCAAGCTGAATAAAATTCTTCTGAAACACTTATCTTTTTAAAACTCCTTTTGTAAATTAAATGACAGGAAATCATATAATCTAAATTCTAGAAGTCATTTTTTGATACAATTTAATAAAGTTATGAAAAAAAATCACCCTGTAGAGAGATATATATCCCTTTTAAACAATGTTTTAATACAGAACAATTTAAAGTCCCTAATATTTAAAGTCTTTGATATTCACATATTCATGAATAAATCTTGATTTCATCTACACTTAAGAAACCAAAAATGTTCACTTACATTTTTGTGATTAACACATTTCATAAGAACTAGCTCTCTGTAGGCCCGCTTGGCATGAGTCTGATTCTGAAATGGTCGGCTTAGCTTCTTGATTGCAACATTTCTTTCAAGAATGGCATCATAAGCTGCGCTGTAATAAGAAATTTAAAAACACACAAAAAACTTAAAGCAAAAATCTGTAAACTGAATTCATGAAACAGTCATATAGATTTCTCACTTTCTCCAAAGACAAGTAACTGGATCACTTCCCAGTCTATGACGCTCAACATGTCTTCTGTATCTATTACAACATGTTTTTTTGGCAACTATTTCCTAAAATGCTAATGGATCCAAACAGACAGTGGACTATGACAACTGAGACCCTGCATGTTCGTTGTGTTGCCTCAACGATCCACCTAGTACATGGTGGGCACTCAATGTACAAATGCATAATAATTATTTAGCTCCACTAGATAGCCTAAAGCCTGAATGAATCCTTAACCTTGCACTTCTATCAAGAAAAGGTAGGATAAAGAATGCATACGAGGCTGGGTGCAGCGGCTCATGCCTGTAATCCTAGCACTTTGGGAGGTCAAGGTGGGTGGATCACAAGGTCAGGAGATCGAGACCATCCTGGCCAATACGCTGAAACTCCGTCTCTACTAAAAGACAAAAAAATTAGCTGGGCGTGATGGCGCGCACCTGTAGTCCCAGCTACTTGGAGGCTAAGGCAAGGGAATCACTTAAACCCGAGAGGCAGAGGTTGCAGTGAGCCAATATCATGCCACTGCACTCCAGCCTGGGCGACAGAGCAAGACTCCACCTCAAAAAAAAAGAAAAAATAAATAATAATAATAAAATAAATAAATAAATAAAGACGACGAAGGTATATACAGAGGTATGTATACAAAATACTATTTTACAATTTTTTGAAGAAGTAAAGCCCTTAAAAATGTGTTTTAGAGGAGAAACTAAAAATCAAGTTGTTTATAAACATGAATGCTAGATTTCAGGGCATGAGAAGCTGTTTTATAACTGGAAAACACAACATCATACCCATTACTCTTCATATCTTCCTCTATCCCATGACACTGACCATACAGCAGCTTTCTCATATGACAGGTCAGAGACACTGAAGCACAAATAAGGTAAAGTATCTTTAAAGAACTTTATGACTGGAAGATCCTAAAAATTATTTGGATTCACCATTGCCTAATGTTGGGCCAGTGGTAAAGTAATTTGCCCAAGGTTAAGCCAGAAAGTTAAAAGCAAAGCTGAGACTAGAAGATCTAAGACGTGAAGTCATGTTTTTCAAACTGGACCACTTAACATACTATAAAAGACTATTTCTGTTTATATGTATATAATATTTGGAAAGCCAGCTCACTGCTGATTAACAGTTTTCTTATCTGACTGAAAACTTGAATTTGTTTTGTAGCTATCTGATCATATCAAATGCCATGTAGCACTATATGTATTAAGAAACTGGTACTGCATAAATGGACACATCTATACATTCTATATATACAACTACTGCCTATATATACATACATACACACACCAAAATATACATAAATATTATAATCCTTACTTGTGAAATGCCATATTTGCAAACATGTCCTACTCAAAACAAAACAAAAACTCAGTGGGGTCATGCAAAATTATTAGATGTTTTGACTATCTTCAAATAAAGCAGGTTTTATTTTTAACAATTAAATTCATTGCTATTGATTTATCTGCCAAATCAAAAGCATATTTCAAATTCTAAAAGTTCAAAAGGGTCTGAGGGCACTCCACTATCCTGTATCCAAAAAAATTAAATTTCTAACTGTTGATTCTTCAATGTGCACAAATCAGAAGCACCTGAGGATACAAAGGCCACAATCTAGACCCAATTAATCTTACTATTTATGGTTGGGGCACAAAATAATGCTTTAAAAAAAAAGGTCTGTATTCAGTTGACTCAGCAACACACAAATGAGTTTTGAAATTTTTATGTTTAATATTTGTCTATTTCGTAAACATCTCTTATAGAAATTATCACTTTCAGCAAAAATATGAAAATAGTTATTCCTTAGGCTAAGGGCTTAAGAGGGCCTAACAAGCAATTTTTTCTTAATTTTGATACAAAAACTTCAAAGTGCACCTACCTGAGGATAAGTGAAGATACAGAAACATTAATATATTTTAAAATATTTATATGTAATATATATATTATATAATCCTCACAATTTTGTAAATTAGGTAAGAAACGGGCTCAGCACAGTAAATTTGCCAAAAGTCATAAAGCTAGTAAATTACAGAGCTAAAACCTGAACAGAGCCAGACGCGGTGGCTCACGCCTGTAATCACAGCACTTTGGGAGGCTGAGGTGGGCAGATCACGAAGTCAGGAGATTGAGACCACGGTGAAACCCCATCTCTACTAAAAATACAAAAAATTAGCCGGGCATGGTGGCTGGCGCCTGTAGTCCCAGCTACTCAGGAGGCTGAGGCAGGAGAATGGTGTGAACCCAGGAGGCGGAGCTTGCAGTGAGCCTAGATCGTGCCACTGCACTCCAGCCAGGGCGACAGAGCAAGACTCCATCTCCAAACAAACAAACAAAAAAGGTAACAAAAATATAATTATTCTTGAATGAGGCTTATAATTCCCCAAAACACTAGTTTATTATTATGCTAATTTAGTGATCTGCAATCAGTATCAGAACTATCCCAAAGAGTGATCTGCATTTCAGTTTATAAAGAATTATGTTGATATAGCCTAAGCCTTTTGTAGAAGTTAGCTAATAAATCAATTTTAAACATATGGATGAATTTTGAAACACATAAGTGAGATATTAGCTGACTTCATTCCCCAGTGTGGAATAAGATTTCTGAAATTCCAGGGCTTCATTATAGGGTGAAAGTGATGGTTAAATGTAGCTTCTTATTAAACAGTTATCTAATGGGAATACACGTATACATGAAATTAACAAGCATGCCACTTATTCTTTCTTGATAGAGATATTTGTCTCCAATGGCTTATGACCAAATATTTAATCATAGTTTATACTTAAAGATGGCAGTTTATAGTTATATATTATGAATAACACAGGTTATTATCTCAAATCTGAAAATATGAAACCTAAAATGCTCAAGAATCCAAATTTTGGGGGCATTGACATGACGCTCAAAGGAAATGTTTCACTGAAGCATTTCTGATTTGAATTTGGAATGCTCAACCAATGCAAATATTCCAAAATCTGACACTTCTGGTCCTAAGCATTTCAGATTAGGGATACTCAACCTTTAATAATAATAATAAAGAAAAGACCATTGATCCCTGAAGCAAACAATTTACTGTGGAATAGTTTTCACTTAATTTGTTTTAATTTTTCGAGGCAAGTTAAATATTTGCCAAGGTATCTAAATCACAAGAGGACAAAACGTAGCAGTTAATGATTCTTTGCCTAATTTTTGGAAGTAAAAACTTACCATACTATTCCTTGCGCTCCTGAGCCTATAGGTTTTAAATTCTGATACCGTTTCAGGACTGTGAATGTAGAATCTCCAATCTCTACACTATAAAAATTGTTGTCACGCTTGCTTCTGCTCATGATGGCAAGCAATTAATTTAATGGCTTCATCCAAAAATTCACCAAGAAGCTGCAAGATGGAACAAAATGTGATGTTAACAAAATGAACTTGTTTTAATATTAAAATTTGAGCCCTTACTCTCTGTTTACTTACTGATAGTAACACAGACTGCTAGATCATGAAAAGAGCTGCTTCATTAAAAAACACAAGAAAAAAAATACCACAGAGCCTTGATCAGCATATGCCATATGAACGACTGATAGTTTTTTTTTTAAAAGAAACATTAGGATAAATCATTCCTCCAATCTAGAAGTTACCAGCATTAATACATTAATAACTTACAAGACTAACAAAAGCAAATAATTAAAATTAAGCATGTTTTTAACGTCACTCCACAGTTTAAAATAAAATTTAAAACCAGTCTTTCTCGTGTGCTTATTATAGAGAATAAAAACCTTAATTTTTATGAGAAATTTACAAACTTTCATTCAAAACTGGTTAACAGTCTCATTTAGTGCCAAGTGGAGAGAACAACAAATGGAAATAAGTTGACTAGCACATGTCACCCTTGCCTAAAACACAAAGGGTACCACAGTGCCTTCACTGTCACAGATCCTCTGACCTGCCAAGGCAACCTCCTGGTGTAACACACATACTGAGACTGTAATGGGTGAAAGGATGAGAAGCAAAACAGAAACAAGAGAGAGAGAAGTAGTTAGCATATTGGGATACAAAACAAAACAATACTATTCCATCCTGCTTGAGGCATAAAAAGTACAATTCAACTTCTAACTACCATTCCTTTACTACTTGTAGGATTAAAAATCAAGACAGTCTTTTTCTACCCATGTGAATACTGGTTATTAGCAAACTTATTATCCATCCTTACTAGACAAAAGATACTATTCCAAAATGTATGCAAAGCAGCTTTAACCTATTCCTTGCCTCCTCAATAAGTCATGAAACCAGTTAGGTCTCAAGTTACTGTTTTTTGTGGTTTTAAGATAATGCTAACCCCCCCAAAATCCTAATATGACTACAATACAAAGAATTAATTCAGCAAATATTAATTGCCTGCTAGGCACTCTGCATGTCCTGGGGTCAGATTACAAACTAGGTAAGAAGGTGAGCCACTGGAGGGTGGAGACCATGAGAATGCCTTGACCTGATCCTTGGCTGCGACATGTAGATTGTACTGCAGGAGAAAAGGGGAGCAAGAGTGGAATATGAACATCTGAGAGACTATTATAATGACTCAGATGAAAGAGAAACAATGAAGAGTCTTAGGCCTAAAGGAGTTAAAAATAAACAAAAACTAAACAGGCAACTCCAAACTATGTAAGCTGTAAAACCGAGGACAAATAAACTAGAAACAAATGAGGAATTAGACCTGGATACATCGTAAAAGGTCCAGAGAAACATTTCCAAAATCACTAACTGGACGAGTCATATAGTGCTCCAGAGAAGACCGAAATGACAAGACTCATAAATTCTTCCTAAGTGGACAACCCATAATAAAGAAACGAGCTTTGGTAATGATTTAAACACTGAGCTATGTTCACAGAATGCTCACATACAGGGATTGTTCATCCTAATCGTTTTCCTACCATAACCGGAATTCCCTCTTACCTACTACAGTAGTGAAATAAGGAAGAAGAGAAATGGGAAGAGTGGAGGAAGAGTGTTGGCCGTCAGGCCCTTTATTAATTATTCTACACATTTATCCTGGAAACTGGGTCAGCTGGGGGCATGGACACACTAATAGTGATCTCTGACAATCTACAAATATGAGCACAGGCTGAGCACAAAGTTGATGGTGTTTTCACCTTCTGGAAGGTTAAACCTTCCACCCAAGCATTCAAACTACCTGCAGATTAGGATTCCTAACCTTACTTGGAGGAGTCATACGTCTCTCTCAAAAAGATTAAGATAACCAGGAGACAAAGGGGTACTCTGTGGTGCTTCACAGGAGTTGACATATTGTTATCAAAGTAGGTAAAAAAAAAAACACTGTGTTTCAGAGTTTCTCCACTGGCTGGAAAAAAAGAAAAAGCTTGAGTAGATCCAGGAACATGCAGGCAGCACAACCGTTTACTTTTTTGCTAAGAGTAACAGCAAGGAAAAGCTCCTTTCTGTTCTCAGAACAGGGTGGCCCAGCCACAGGAGTGGGATTCACGGTGACAAGAAGTCTGAACAAAGGCTATGGCAGGCAGATAAGCATGGATAGTCACAACTCCCCAGGAGCAGGGCAGAGGCAGGCAGACAGGTTCCAAGGTTAAGCAGGCAGCCCCAGCTAAGCAGTACCCTTGGCAAAAGCCACAGCTGCCACTTACAAGAACAGAAGACAGAAAACTCTATACTCACTTATACTCAGTCATGCAATATTCAAACCTGATTTAAACACCATGCTATGTACTGTTAACAAGATAGTAATCAGCATCTGGTTCCTCACAGTGCTGCAGCTAGGACAGAAAAAGAGACCTTAAGCTGATGGCTACCTGCCTGACTGAAACTACAGCTGTGGTAAGGACAATGAAGGAAAGCGGCAGGATGTCAAAGAAGCTTGTGCCAGTCTGGGCTCAGGAACAGATACTCCTGACAACATGACGTTTAAGCAAGATCTGAACACTGAAGATGAGTCAACCAGACAGGGAGAGGAGAGCGCTTTCTAGGCAGAAAAAACAAAACACATGCAAAGGACTATAAAAATTGTACCAACTGTACAATTTGATGAGTTTTGATTAACTGTACAATTACATAACTACCATCAGGAAAATCATGATATAAAACATTTCCATTACCTCAATACATTCCCTATATGGTCAGTCTCCACTCTCTACCCCTTTCCCCCCCAACTCCTAGCAACCACTGAATTGGTTATCGTGCCTTTTCTAGATCTTCATATAAATGAAATCACACAGCATGTAATTTTTGTTTGGTTTCTTTCATTTGCTCTAATGATTTAGAGATTCATCCATGCTGGAGTCCTTTTACTAGGAAATAAACTTCATTGTGTGGATGTACCACTTGGACATTTCAACTGTTTACAGTTTTGGAGTTATTATAAATGATGCCAGTATGAATTTCACACTTTTTCTTCATTCATCTTGGGTTAAATATCTAGGAGTGAAATTGCTGAGCCCTATGTTTTTAAGAAATTGTCACACTGTCTTCCAAAGAAGCCATATCATTTTTCATTTGCACCAGCAAGATGTGAGAGTTCCAGTTGCTCCACATTCTTCGGATTGCCATTTAATTTTATCTACACTAGTGGGTGTACAGTGGTATTTCATGGTGGTTCACATTTGCATTTCCTAATAACTAATGAAGCCGAGCATCTTTTCATGGGTTTATATGCCATTTGTGTAATTATTTTTGGTGAAATAGCTATTTAGTTCTTTTCCCTATTATAAAAATACGGCTGTCTTCTTATGAGTTTTAAGACTTACTTATACATTGTAGATACACATCCTTTGTCAGATGTTTTGCAACTATTTTTTCCCAGTCTGTGGTTTGCCTTTCCATTTTCTTAACAGTTGTCTTTTTATTTTGAAATAATTTTAGACTCACACAGAAGTTACAAAAATATTACAGTTTCTGGGTATCTTTCACCCAGCAACAACATTTGACAAACCATAGTACAACTATCAAAATGAGGAAACTAACACTGGTATAATACTATTAAACTAGAAATTTTCCTCAGATTTTACCAGTTTTTACATGCCCTGTGTGTGTATAATTCTACATAAATTTATCACATACTTTATATTAGTATAACCTCCACTACAATCAGAATACTGAACTATTCCAGCCTGGTACAGTGGCTCACTCCTGTAATCCTAGCACTTTGAGAGACTGAGGAGGGCAGATCACATGAGGTCAGGAGTTCACGACTAGCCTGGCCAACACGGTGAAACCCTGTCTCTACTAAAAACACAAAAATTAGCTAGGTGTGGTGGCACATGCCTGTAGTTCCAGCTACTTGGGAGGCTGAGGCAGGAGAATCGCTTGAGCCCTAGAGACAAAGGTTTCAGTGAGCCGAGATTGTACTATTACACTCCAGCCTGGGTGACAGAATGAGACTCTGTCTCAAAAAAAGAAAAAGAGAATACTGAATGATTCCATCACCTCAAAGAAACATCTTCATGCCATCCCTTTATAATCATAGACTCCTCCCAACTTTACCCGTGGCAACTACTAATCTGTTCTTTGTCACTGTAATTTTTTCATTTAGAAAGTGTTATAGGTTGGTAGTAGTGGCTCCTATCTGTAATCCTGGCACTTTGGAAGGCCAAGGCAGAAGGACTGCTTGAGCCCAGGAGTTCAAGACCAGACTAGGCAACACAGAGAGACCCCATCTCTATAAAAAATGTAAAAAAAATTAAAAATCTGCCAGGGCAGTAGTGCACACCTATAGTCCTAGCTATTTGGGAGGTTGAGGCAGAAGGATCACTTCAATCCAGGAGCCAGAGGCTGCAGTGAGCTATGATAGCACCACTGCATGCTATCCTGGGCAACAGAGTGAGACTGTCTCCAAAAAAAAAAAAAGCTATACAAATTAAACTCACCATAAGTAATCTATTAAATCTTTTGAAACTGGCTTTTTTTCACTTATTACAATGCTCTTGAGATTCTCTAAGGTGCTGGTATATCAATAGCTTGTTCTTTTTCTTACTGAATATTATTCATTGTATGAAATGTATGACAATTTATCTATTCACCTCTTGATGGCTATGACAAAGCTGTTAAAAGGCTTTGTGTATACATTTTGTGTGAATATAAGTTTTCAATTCTTTAGGGTAAATATCGAGGAGTAAGATATGGTAACTCCATTTTTAATTTTACAAGAAACCGGCAAACTGTTTTCCAGAATGCTGTATCATTTTGCACTTTCACCAGCAATGTGTGAAAGATCTAGTTCCTCCACATTCTTACTAACTCTTGGTTTTGCCAGTACTTTTTATTTTAGCCATTCTAGTAGGTGTGTCATATCTCATCATGGCTTTAAATTCACATTTTCCTAGTAGCTAATCATGTTAATAAGCATCTTTTCATGTGCTTCTTTGTCA